TGCGGGCTGATCTCGAGCAATGCATTTTGATGATAAAAGTGTTTGCAACATCATGCCTTACCGCCAAGCTTACAACATCATTCTTGTTGCTCCGAAATGAAGAAAATAAAAGTGGAGGGGTGAGTGTCGCTTCCTATAGTGTTCTATGCCTGTACTTTGTACTGGCTGCTGCCGCATACCGTGTCAATGATATTATAAAATATTAAAATACATTCAAAACTAACATTTAAATAATATATTTAGTACATAGCTTTTTAAATGTATTATATAAATTTTCAAGACAATTTATAACTGACACTATATTTTTTTTTTTTTTTATTCATGGTACAGTATCAACTGCTAAGGTTATTAGCTTGCAACAAAAATTGGTAATTAGTACATAATAGAGTATAGTTATACAATAGATTTTTAAATTAAATTATACAATATATCAATTTGCTTTAAAAATATGATTATTTTGTTGGTGTTGTCATGGATAGGGCTGAGGGCTTCAAAGAGGTTGTCGGGCAATTTTAGACTTTTTCTGGTATCTATATGGATACGGCAGTTAATAAGGAGGTGCTTGACTTTGAGAGGTTCTCCGCAGGTTAGGCACACTTCTGGTTCTTCTCTGCGCATAAGATGTCCATGGGACATCTTTGAGTGATCTATACGTAACCTATTGATAACTACTTCATCTTTGCGATTTGATGTATGGGGCTTAGGCCAGTATTCGGTAGTATTCTTTATTTCTCTCAGTTTGTTATTGGGTGTACGACGCCATTCAGATTCCCATAAATTGGTACAAAAAGTGTTGACATTCCTATGGATGTCGATGAGTGAGGAGTACGTGCGTATTTCGGTCAGAGGGATATTTACTGCTTCACGAGCTACTTTGTCAGCTTTCTCATTGCCATCAATTCCACAATGGCCAGGTGTCCATATGAACCATTTATGTTCTTGTTGGCTTTTTCAATGATGTTGCTTATTTTGATTGCTAGGATGCTTGAGCATAAATTATATTTTAGATTGTTTAGAGCGCTGAGCGAATCTGTACAAATGTTAATGGTGGAATATGGTTGGTTATCTCTTTAGGATCTGTAAAAACGGTTTGCCCAACCATCAGTGTTTTTATTTGTGTAAAAGGGACTCCTTTTAATGTTTTAATTTTATTCCACATTATTGTTGGGGAAATAGGACTATTTAAACTAGATGTAAAATTTATCCATGACTTTTTTTTCACTTTTAATAAGGTATCTGACTAGCGCTTTGTTTTTTTTTAAATTGTATAAAATCTTGTAGGTCTAAAGTTCGTTTGTATCTGTTAAAGGCAGTCTTTTTTTCCGTATAGCTTGTTTAATTGTTTTATTCCACCAAGGGACTGGAGGTCTCTTTCCAGAGTAATTAGTTAATTCGAAAACGTCCGAGGCTGTATTTTAAATGAGGTCGGTGAACAGTTTTATCTTATCTTCTACATTATTAGTATAAGTCCAAGGAGTTGAATCAATATTTTTATCAATTTCCGTTTGATATATATTCCAGTCGACATTTTTTAATTTCCATTTTTTTTCTAGTATAATGATTATGGGAGTTTGTGTGATTTAGCGTCATAATGATAGGAAAGTGGTCACTGCTTGATAATTCTGGTATGACATCCCAATCTATGTAGGGAGTGATTGTAGCTGATGAGAATGAAAGGTCGATGGCTGAAAAGTGTCCAGTGCTTACGCTAACTCTTGTAGCTTGGCCACTGTTAAGTATATTGAGGTCATTATTGCTGTATAGGGTTTGCTCGATTTTTGATCCTCGTGAGTCAAGAGTGGAGCAGCCCCACAAAGGACTGTGGCTGTTGAAGTCTCCTAAGAGAATATAAGGGGAGGGGAGTTGATTAATAATGTTTTTGATATCGGATTGTTCAACATTTTGAGAGTTTGGTAGTTATAAATTGCAGATTGTTATTGAATTTTTGATTAAAACATTTACTGCGACCACTTCTATATTGGTATTAATGATAAATTCTTCGGAGTGATAATTTGAATTTACATAGATTGCCACACCACCACTGGCTCTGCCAGCATTGGTTCTATTTTTGTAGTATGTTGTGTAGTTTTTTAGGGAACAGACCTTGTCGTTGATAAAATTAGTTTCTTGTAGACATATTGAGATTGGACAGTATTTGTTTAATAGCAAATTGATTTCGTCTAATTTGGAGTAGAATCCATTTGGTTTCCATTGAAGTATTTTAAGACTGTTATTAATTGTCATGATAGGTTTGATATTTATTTTATTTGGTATGTAGTAGGTGAATGGATATCGAGCAAGCTAGTAGGTTTCGTCATCATTGCTGTCAGCATAGAAAGTCTGACTAGTATTTATGTTTCGAACTTTTTCGAGTGCTTTTGATAATCTGGTTAGACGGTTTTTAATACTTTTAATTGTTACGACAGGGTGGATGTTTGTAATGATTTGGATTATATTTTCTGGACTGCTATTGTGCTCCATACATAAACTCTCGAGATCAGTGCAACCTTGCGAGTTTTCGAAGAAATCTTTAAATTGTTTGAGTGATAAGGACATTTGAGGGTTGGAATTGAACAGATCTTTGGTTGGATTTAACCCTACATCGATATTTGAATAGAAGCTATCATTTGAACTGGTGCTGGTTCTAACTTTCGGTTTTTTGTGTACATTTCCATTAGGGTTTTTTGATGGCTGGGTATTTTCCTTCAGGTGCGTTGGGAGGCTTCTTTGTTAAAGGCGGGTTGGGTGAGTGCGATGATTTTGAAGATGGTGGTTGAGACGTGGTTGACGGGGCAAGACGTTTAACTGGGTTTGAAGAAGTTACGTTGACAATTTTGTTGGATGATGATTTGAGTTTTTCGGCTAGCGAGTGTTCTTTGGGTTGATCGATAGTGATTAGATCACTATAATCATTTGCTTGGTTTGGTTTGGAGAGATTTGGGAAGTGGTTTTAATTCCTATTTCATGGAGAGCGTTAAGTATAAGGTGATTTGGGATAGTAGGGTAAACATTGGATAGAATGATTCTTTTGGACGCATTTATAAGTCTACGGATGGTGATTTCTGTTTTATTGGCATGAATTGCAGAGTGAGTTTTGAGTAGATTTTCCACGATGGCTTAACTATTGAAGTATATGCAGAATCGATTATTTGAAATGCGTGATACAAATTAAATATTTTCTGCGGGTATAATTTTACTGATTGCGATAACGTATTTGATTTGTCTGATGTTGTTAATTGAGTTAAAAACGATTGCTTGGTTCAATTTTGGTGATGTAACATTGGAGGCTATATCTGCAAATGTTGCAGTATTACATATATGTGAGGAAGCACTGTTTGTGTTGTTCATATCGTCAGATATGGTGGTTTTGGTAGTGGGCTTATCACCCATCGTAATAGGTTTGGGATATTTATTTGATTGGTGTAATTAAGGCAATAATTATAATCATATTACCTGCAACGCTGAGTTTTAAAACAGACTGGTGTGTTACTGCTATCGATAGCTATAAATGCTATACTATAGGAGAACACACGTGTTGAACGGTCAGACATTGAACACGAACTGATAGACTATTGTAAATTATTTTATAATTAATAAACAGTAGTTCATTAAAATTATGTTTACGGTATTGCTGTTTGTATACAAATAACCAACTAACCCATGCACAAATTGCACATAATTGTATGGTACATAAATACATAATGTATTGCAAATAATATTTTTCCAGCTAAAAAAATGGCAATTGTCTTATCAGTGTGTTTTACATTTTGTGATATGAAAATCTCTCAGTACAATATCTAGTATAATATAGACATCTATGGGCCACAGTACCACACCCACGTACAAACCAGTATATTAGGTGTTATCATGTTCTGTGTCTTATAGTTTATAAGCTGTCTGATTACTCTAATTCAATGATCTGTATGATTGACCATGAATTGATGTAAAAGTGAAAAAAAATACTAAAAGCTGCTTAAATATTGTGTTATAACATAAAAACTATAAATTTAAATATAAATAGTAAAGCAGAAGTTCCTTAAAAAAATAGATTTATAAATTGTTGGTATTAAAAATAAGTTATACCATTTAAAAATCCAAAGCTGTTACATGTTTTACATATAACAAAAAATGTGAAAATGTTTGGAATATCAATTATTTATACATTTCAAAAAAAAAAAAAGTTACAACTTTTTAAAATAATAAGTATCCTATGTTTAATGGATCACCCAGTATGTACATTAGATTTTGAATATGATTAGGATGTATTCATCCATTAATACATTTCAACAGCAATCTAATTGTTGATACAGAATAGTATTAACCACAAGTAAGAAAGGCAAGAGTTTGGAGTCTATTTTTGAAAGGGGATTATTATATATTTTACTTACAAGGTTACATTATCACTTCAAAGTGTTGAGTTTTGGCGATAAATAACTAATATTACTAAAAACAATATTTCATACACAATAACTAAAATCACAATTTAGTATTTAAATTTAAAATTAGAAAAATGTCAAAATTAGAAATTTAAATATTTATGAAAAAAAATGTTTATATAATTATTAATATTTGTAATGCTGTAAGTATGCAAACTTATGAAGAACCTTACTATTTTTTCATTCCACTTATAATAACTTCAAAATAATCTAGTATTAAATTTTCAAGTTTTTTGTATTAAAAATTTTTATGATTCTAAATTAAAGAAAGTGGACAAAGTACATAAGCACCCTGCTGTATAGTAAGTACAGAGTGTATACCCATGCTTTGTCATTGAGGAGAAAATCACTGTAATGTATAAGTTAAACTTGAATTCAATGATAAGTCATTGCATAATATGAAAAACGATTCAGACCAAAGACTTTATGTTCACAAGTACTAATAAGCACATTTTATCATTTAACTATAATACTATATTTTTATTGATATTATACATTTTAATGTAATATAAAAAGAAAAAAAATTAATTCATACATATAAATATTGGTTAAAAGAAATAAAAATGTTATGTATAAAAGTTAATATACATAGATTTATAAAAAAATTATTTTAGGTTACAGGTCACAATATCATTATTCACTAGAATTAACATAGGTATACTGATATTTATTTAGCAATATCCCCTGGGTTATACAGTCAAAAATCCATTTTTCATGAGTATTATGTCTGAATTGTATTGTAGTGCCAATCACTATATCTGCTTTAGATTCCTCACTTGTGCAATGGCCACCACAAGCATGCACCAACTGTCTCAAGAGTTCGGCTGGTGATTCACAGCTATTAGATACATATATCTGACCATCTTTATCAAATATATTAAATTTCAATTTAGAACCAGATTCTCTATGCCGTCGTATTTGAAAATCCTTAAAAAAAAAAACATTTTTGTAAATATTTATTCAAACATTCATAAATAAATAAAATAAAAGTGAATCAAGCATTTTTACTTTGACAGGTTCAGACAATTCAGGAATCATGTATTTTTGATGAGATAGCCATCTTCCAATTGCGTATGATTTGAGTACCTTAATAATAAAATAATATTATATTTTTTCATTTATGTTATACACAAAATTATAAAAATGTAATAGGTCAAATATATTTTGAATTAAATAAATAAAACTGTAATGTTATAAATGGCAAGTTATTAAATTAGTCTTTGTAAGCGTCTTACCCAATCTTCAGAAACAATGTAACAGCCATGAGCCATCGCAAATACAATATCTAATGATTGATTAGAT